ATGCCATAGTTGGATACGAATAAAGATGGCTCGACACCAGCCTTCACATCGGCGATGTATTTGTAAGTTACAAGTTTTCCATGTGGAAAAGGAGCTGTAATAATATTAGATAAAATTTATTTCTACAATTCAATTATCACAGAATTCACTTCAAGTTCTCGTTTATTTCGTTATCTTCGAGAACTTCTTTATATTTATTTTAACGTACCCGGAACGGCAATCACCGTAGTTAGGATCCCCAATAATACTAAAAATTAAAAAAATATATATATCATTTCAAATTATTAACAACGTTTTTGAAAATACAATAAAATTACAGGAAACTTGTTTTCTTCCTTTTTTGTTACTTACCGATTAGGGTATTCATTATAGTGTAACCCTTGTAAGAAGACTACTAACTCTGCTGTGCTGCATTCTCCTTTTATATGGCGAAAAATCTGTAAATCCCGGTAGAATAAGAAAATGCAAATATAAATGATAACCCCTCTCGAAAGGGTGTTGCGAACTGGCTATGCCGGTGTAATCAATGAGGAAGATAACCCGTTCGTGCACCATCACAAGTTACATTACTACGTGAATAATTTTTTAAAAATATTATCAGAATCAAGTTTAACTTGACTCATACTTTTTATACCTGATTGTATATATTTCTATATATTAAAAAATCTTCATTCTTTTTTATTCTACGCGCCAATGAATTATATGTTTCATTAGATATTTAGATATTTCTATTTTATTTATAAACAAAGTTGCATATAGGAATAGGATTAAAATTTTAAAATCCAATTTTTTTGAAACTATTATAGATATCTTTTGTCTAACAGTTATGAATGAAAAAAAAAAATACTTGTAACTTTTTATTTCACTTATCCTGCATACAGATTTTATTGCAATTTTCATATATCGTAAAAGATTTTTATGTTGACACGGAATATCATTGATTAAAAAATTGATTGAAATCATTTATTCTATTACGATAGAAAATTGATTGGAATTTTCCCTGAGATTATTTTTTTATACATGTAAATTACAATATTGTTGATTAATAAATATAATTGACTTTATCAATAATGTTTAAAAAAACAACAAATAATTCGATTGCGTGTTTACCGTCGCACATGACAATCAACAATATAATTGCAATGATTACGTTATACCATTTAAGTCGATGAACAGAAATTAATGGTACTATAAAATAAAGACTTCCCCTTCTTTGTATCTATTTATAGAATTTAAAAGATCGAAAACTTAAATTTTTACCGATAAAATAATATAATACAATACAAATACAATACTAAAAATGATTGCATCATTTTACAAGCATTTAGATAAATATATCGTCAGTATTTATAATTTGTGGAATGTTGATTGTCGGAATCAGTTTTTAAATTATTTTCTTGCTGTTTACCGTTAACTTAAAAAATTCTTTAATAAAAAAATCTATCGGCTATCGCCACTTCAGCCAAAATGTATTTTAAATGCTAAATCATATTTGATAAAGCCAGGATACTACGTAATAACACTAATAAAATTCTGTGTTTCGATGATATATAATCATACATAATCATTCATTAAAAAATATATATTTAAATAAATAGTAAACAATTTTCTATCAAAAAACAATTAATATATTTTTCAATTATGATAATTTGCAAATATAATTATTAATATTTATAGGAATTATAAAAATAAATAAATATTGTACTTTCAAAAAATCCAATTTATTGATTTATTGTTCAACGTTTTTCAAAAAGTATTCTTTTAATTTCTCCAGTGCTTTACTACGATGAGAAATTTTATTTTTAATTTCTTTCGGTAATTCTGCGTAAGTTTTATCATTGTCCAAAGGCTGAAAACATGAATCCCAACCAAAATCTCGTGGACCTCGAGGACTCACGATAGTTCCTTGCGTTCTACCTTGAAACAATAAAACTGGATCTTCCAATTTTCCTGAACAATAAGCAAAAGTGCAAACTGCTTCCGCAGTTTTATCTTCCCAACCATTAAGCATTTGATATAATCCTTCTGGTCCTAATTTGTCTAAAAACCATTTAATATAAGGACCAGGTAAACCGCTCATTGCATTAAAGCATAAGCAAGTATCTTCAATAATAACAGGTCCTTTTATTAAATCAGCTGCTGCTCGACATTTATTTCTGCAAATATCATCTATTTCTCCTTGATATTCTGGAAGATCAATCTTCTTACTTATAATTTCTAATGGAAAATTTTTTCCCAGAATAGCCACAAACTCTTCTAATTTCTTTACATTTCCAGTTACAAAAACTATTGGTTTCGACATTCTGTAAAAAAATTTGAAATATAAAACTTCGCGCCTTTTTTACTCGATTGGTTGGTAGACATGCCTATGATATATCTATAGATATGTATACCTGCTATGAGGTGAAAATGTGAAATGTGTTGGTTATCTTTTCAACTAAATTAAATAAGATTTTATTTAAGAATATAATTAAAGATGTATTTTATGAATATTATATTTGTTACACTTTGTTAAACAATTTCTATACCTTCGAATAAAAACTATTTTTCAATATTTAGTAATCGAATCGAAGCATGTGAAACAGCATCTTTTCTCAACAGTGTTGCTAACTGTAATTTCTTATCCCAAATGAAAATATATTATTTATAATTTAAAAAAGATTTATTTTAATCTTGTAAAAATTTTATTTTTTATTTTATTTCACTAACACAAATTGAAAAAAATTATATAAAAATTAAATATAAAAATTTTTTAAATAATCTTAAGAGAAAGTTATTTCTGAATTTTGAATTCAATTATTTCTTTAAATATTATAATATTTTTACTTTTTAGAAATATTTTTGCAATTTAATTTTTAATATGATATAAATTATATATTTTCTTGGAAACTGTATTTATATTATTTACTTTGTGTAGAAGGGTCTTTTATGAATGATTCAGTGAATAACTTTGGATGTTTCTGCTGTGGCTACATTCACGAAAGTTAAAGGAATTGCTCAAAAATGCCGAGTCAAGAGGTTGTAACAACGAAAGTTGTGGTGCATCCTTTAGTTTTATTAAGTGTAGTGGATCACTTTAATCGTATGGGAAAAATTGGTAATCAAAAAAGAGTTGTTGGTGTTCTTTTGGGATGTTGGAGGGCGAAAGGCGTGCTAGACGTGTCAAATAGTTTTGCAGGTTAGATTGACACTACTAATATTCACCATTTCCTCTTGATTTTTATAGATTTTGGTCATAAATTTATTATTTCTTCATTAATTTATTGTTTCTATAATAATTTTTATAAATAAAATAAAATTATTTTCATTATAAAATTAAATATTATTACTTTTATTTATAGTTCCTTTTGATGAAGATGATAAAGACAAAAGTGTGTGGTTCCTTGATCATGATTATCTTGAAAATATGTATGGAATGTTCAAAAAAGTTAATGGTATGCATTTATTTGTATGCATATGAATTTGAAAGCAATCAAAAATTTAAATTTTATATTTTTTTTCATTTATTATATCTTAGCTCGTGAAAAGGTAGTAGGTTGGTATCATACTGGACCTAAATTACATCAAAATGATGTTGCAATTAATGAATTAATCAGAAGATATTGCCCCAATTCTGTTTTGGTCATCATTGATGCTAAACCTAAAGATCTTGGTCTTCCAACAGAAGCATATCAAGCTGTTGAAGAAGTTCATGATGTAAGTTTCATAATGTATTTAGTATATTTGATATATTTATATCATAATCATATATAAATATCATTATAATAAATAAAATTATTACAGGATGGCTCTCCAACATCTAAGACTTTTGAACACATTCCTAGTGAAATTGGTGCAGAGGAAGCAGAGGAAGTAGGTGTAGAACATTTATTAAGAGATATTAAGGATACCACAGTTGGTACCCTTAGTCAAAGAATTACAAATCAATTATTAGGTTTAAAAGGCCTTCATGAACAAATTAGAGAAATTAGAGATTATTTGCTGCAAGTTGGTAGTGGTAAATTACCTATTAATCATCAAATTGTTTATCAGCTACAAGACATTTTTAACTTACTCCCTGATATGACACAAACTAGCTTTGTTGATTCACTTTATGTGAAAACAAATGATCAAATGTTAGTTGTGTATCTTGCTGCTCTTGTTAGATCTATAGTGGCTTTACACAATTTAATCAATAATAAATTAACTAATCGTGACGCTGAGAAAAAAGAAACAGATAAAAAGGAAACAAAAAAGGATGAGAAGAAAGAAGAAGAAAAAAAAGATGAGAAAGATAAAATAAAAAATAAAAGTCAGTGAACAAAGTGAAACTGAAACTAATTTGTGTGATTGAGACTGTTAACATTACAGAAGTTCACAATTGCAAAGTTTGTTTATACATGTACAAATGTATTTTGTGCTTACAAACAATTGGTATTTCAAATTAACACCAAAATAAAACAAATGACGAATGTTTTTAAAATATTCTATCACACGTACATTAAATAAAAGATATAATGGTAGAGATGCAGTTACACATTTCCATGATTTATAGCAAACACAAATTCGATTAATAATTTTGCACAATTATTAAGAATTTTAATATTAAACGTTTATAAGATGTATAACATAATAACTGTGTTCACAGATAAACTTTTTTTTTCTAGGAATGAGCAACTGCTTCAAATTACCTCTAACTTTTATATAATGTATTAATGGATAAAAAATTTCGTGATTTTTTCATGAACCAATATCATTCAATTGTCATTAACGATACATTTGAATGTACCGAAATTTTCTATATTATCTGAAAATAGCAGATAAGATTCTTATAATATACAGTCCTTAGGTATTATGAACATGTTTTCTAGAGAATTTAAGCATTCTTAACCATTACATTACGTTACTAATAAACAAAAATCGATCAATTCAAGCTTATAATTTTATTTATTTTTCATGAATATATAAGAACTCTATAATATAGTCATCAAGAGATGCACAATGCATCAATTATTTCTTTGTATCATAAAAATTCACATTTAATCACGAAACGTGAAATTTTAATCTAAAAATAAGTTTTTATAGTGCAGGTACCTGTTCAGAAGATGTAATTTCAAATAAATAATGTTTTTCATTATCAAAACATTTAATATAATCTAATAACACTTGAATTTTCTTCATTTCGTTTTCATCATTCAGATCAATCATATTAAGCGCAATTAAAACTTCAAAAATGAATTATTCAATAAATTAATTATTGAAAATATTTAATCTTTCATGTTTTTATATGAAAATGTATAAAATAAGATATATTTGACTTAATAAAGTCCATCGAGCCACACTTGTCTTTTCACCTCCACTATATGCTACACCAACAAAAGGTTCTAAATTAGTATCGTTATAATGTTGAAAATACCAATTAAATGAATTGTCTTCAAGAACTTCAGCATTCTCATTGGAAGATCCATCTATTCCGAATAGTTTTTCCTCTTCATTTTCCAAATTTCGTTGAACAGCTTCAGCCATAGATTTCTGTTTTTCTGGTTCAGCAACGAGACCAATACGTGGTGATGGAACTTTTGTTATTGTTGGCCTACCTAATGGACGCAAATTTTGGATCAATGAGGGTATTTGACCTCCTGGAACTAAAAACGCTGAAAGCGGTGATGCTTCCGTTTCTCGAGAAGCTTGAGATGTGGAATTCTTCCGATTTTCCGAAAATGTTGAATGAAAAGTCGAACGTTCTGTTATAATAGCACTTGGATCATCTATGATTGATATTAAAATATTATTTATTTGAAATTATATAAAAAAATTATGATGAAAAGTATAATTTTACCAATTGATTCGTTTCGAACGTTTGTCGCGAGACTGGACGTTTCTTGAAATTCATTTGCTTCGGTATTCCAGTATACATGTTTTTCCCCTTTTAATATCTCTGTCGATGTTTCTTTGGATAAAACATCTTTCGTCGCTTCCAAGGCATTTTTCGGCGTAGTCCAAACGATTCTACTCGCGACTTCCACTTGTAATTTTTCTTCGTTTTTAATCGCTTTCTTAATCATTTCCAGATTTTCTCCGTTATAAGCTTCAACAGAAGTTCCATTTGCTTCGTGGTGCGATTCATCTGATGCAGTATCCTTCGTTGAATTTATGGCAGAACTAGAAAAAGATAGAACAGATAGATAAAATTTTATGATTATTTTTCTACATATGCATTTCTATCTAATCAATCTGTTTACCTAATTTTTTTCACACCATTTATTTGCCAATGAAAATCAGGTTCATTAACAGATACTGTGGATAACTCTTCCCTTTCTTTCGGCCCTACTTTAGACTTGTTTGTTCTTAGGTAAGTTCTTTCAACTTTTGCGATTGTCCCATTTCCGCTCTTCCATCGTTTCCGTTCTTCTTGCGTAGCGTTCGAGTTCTTCGAGCTTTCGTTTTTAATTTGTTTCTCGTATGTTAATCTAGGGTCAACGATAGGCACAAATCCACCTTGTCCTCGCGGTAATGGTATAAAACCTCCTCTGTGAATTTCTGGTTCTGTAGGCGGAAACGTCCTGTAACGACCTCTTTCAGGTCTTCCCGAAGAATCTTTCCTCTCGAATTTTCTTCTTGAATTTCCCCAAAGATTGAAGTTAAGACTAGGCAAAGGTACCCCGAAGAAGGTAAAACCAGAACTGCTAGGAGAGGGAGGCATCGAGGTAATTTTTTTTATGGGAATGGTATTATTCGTCGTAGTTGAAATCTTCTCCGTCGTCTGAATGGTTTTCTCATTGCTCGTTGGTACAGTGGTTATAAATTGAGCAGATGTGAATGTTACGTTTGATGTGTCATTTTTATTATCATGATAATCAGGATACTCGTAGAAATAATCAGCATCTTGAATATTAGGAGGATTTCTCGTCGAAGACTCCTTTAAATTCATCCTTAAAGGTACCATCTCCGTTGCTCCAAATACTAATGAGATATTTAATAAACATATTGTCGATAAAAGAAAATGATAATTTGAATATTTTTATAATATTTTTATATATATTTTATAATTTGATTGTGAATAGCTGTTACTCACTAGAAGAGGAAACAGGATACGGTGCAATGTCGATCATTTCCGCCTCACAGCCAGGATGAATCGGATCGATTTGTCTTTCGCGTTGACAATCCTGACGCGCTAATCTAATTTCTTTGAATAAAGATCCATCGGCGCATCTTGGACCTTCGGAGGAAGCTTGCTGCAACCATCCTCTCAACCATAACATTCCACAGGAACACGAAAGTGGATTACCTTTATCACGAATAAAATTATTCTTATAAAAGAAAAAAAGAAAATTAGGAATCAGTACATGAAATAACGGAGAGAGAAAAAATTGAAGTACCATCGATATCTAAGACAGCGATATTCGATCTCAATCTTTTGAAGGCCGCTTCCGAAACGGAAGCCATTCGATTACTTCTCAAGCTGAGAACCCGAAGTCTCGGCATTTTATCGAAAGGCGAACCTTGGATAGTGCAAATACGGTTGTTGTCCATCTGCAATTAAAGTGGACAACGTATGTATAACGATCCGCTATCTTGTTAATTAACGATGCTGCTATACAATTGCTCTGCTAGCATAACGAGTGGCCTCGCACCACGGTTCGTGGCGAAGTTTCACTCTCGACGAGAAAGTATTCCTCGTTATTACTAAAGACTATCCCTACTACTATCATTTGTCCATTCTATGTTCGCGTTAAATACAATGGTTACGAAAATTTTTAATACGATTTTTATCCTAACTATTCCATGGATTCTTGCTTTCAAATTAAATTTAAAAGAAAGAATTATCACGCTATTTCAGGTTATTAATCCTTTTAATTAGCAAATTCCTTAAATGATCCATAAAATAATTCTTTCTCCTTTTACTTTCAGTTTACTTACTTTTAATTCAACTAGCCATTCCATCGATGATAAACTGTTGCTGGATACCCTGGATAATCGATTATTGCTCAAATCTAAAACTTCCAGGGAACGCAAGCTATCCAAGCCAATGTAATCCAACGAAGGTAAATGATTGTGGCTTAAATTAAGGAAGAGAAGGTGAGGCACGTTAATGAATGCATTACTCGCAATTTCCTGAATCCGATTTTCCTGAAGTTCCGCGCTTTGCAGTAATGGCAACTCGGTGAAAGCTCCGCTTGGAATTATCTATGTAATTCGAAATGACGATAAAAATGGTAGATTTTAATAATGGTTTTTAAGAAAATATATATATATATATATATATTTTTTTTTTCTGCTACCTGCAATCGATTCTTTCCAAGTCGTATCGCTTGCAGCTCTGGCAGAGCTCTGATAGCGTTTCTCTCGATAATTCTCAGATCGTTATTTTCCAGATCAATTAACGTTAACTGTGGCAGGCCATCGAAGGCGCCCTCGCGCAACTCACGAATACGATTCCTGACGAGTTTGAGCTCGAGCAAGGCCGATAGACTGCTCAATGTTTCCGGTGACAGGATGTTCAGCTTGTTAAAGCTCAAGTCTAATACTTGAAGAGCTGTTAAGCCGTGTAACGATCCGGGTAACTCGGTCAAAGTATTGTGCGACGCGTACAATTCACGAAGGTCTCTGCAATTAACAACGTTTCCTCCCTTTGATACGGAATCATTAATGGAAACAGGTGTTTCGTTAATTCGTCTGTTTAAATGCATTTAAATAAATTTAAGATCAGAACTTTAAACTTTAATAAAAAATTGTTAGGTTTCGAGAATCTGTAAAGAGCATATTGCTATTAATATCTATTCAGTTGAATGATCGATAAATAATGATTAATTAATATCAGCTTTTTTTTCTTCGATTAATTTAATCGATTAAAGTTCACTTGCTTGTTAAAGTAACGCAAACTACATAGTAGAAAATTAACGATACGCCAGGATAGTGCTACCTAACAACTAGAAAGAGACATTCAACACGAAGAACTTTCTAGGTACCAATTTGCTAGTGATGCAACCATATAACCACAAGTGAAACTGCTTTTCTATTCGCGTGTTGACGTGCAAAAAATGGCGCATCTTAATATAGTTTTGTACGCAATATGGTAGCATTATATAGTTATAGAAACTGTAATTTTTTTCAATGGATATTACCTGGTATTAGAAAACGTTGCATGAGGTATTTGAGCAAGATTATTCCTGCTGAGATCTATTCTCTGTAATCGAATATTTTCCTGGAAGATATCTGGCCTTAGAACTTCCAAACGATTTCCCCGTAAGCTCAAATCCATCAGTGATCTCAGCGGTCTAAAACTTCGGCCATGCAGGGTGACTATTCGATTGTATCTCAAATCCAATTGCTCCAATCTCGATAAACCTTCGAAAGCACCTTCCTCTATGAGTCGAAGAGAATTGTAGCCGAAGTTTAACTTTCTCAAATTCGGCAAATCGGTCAGACTGCCTGGAAGTATCCTCTCAATTCCGTTTGCACTCAGATCCAAGGATCTCAGAAGCGGGAGATCCAGATCTTGAGAGGATATTGCTGGTAAAATAACCATACGATTCATAGGCATGTAAAGGTGCTCTATGTTGCTCGGTAAACCCGGAACTATTTCGAGCATTCGATTCCAACCGACGTCCAATTCGTAAAGATTAGTCAAATGATTGAACGTGAGCGGATGGAGAACGGAAAGCGCGTTTCCAGAGATGTTTATATGCTCCAATAATGGCGTGCCCAAGAATGAATCGGGCTCTATAAGGCCAACCGCATTTCCACTGAGATCCAAACGTCTCAAACTTGGCAAGTTCGCTAATAAACGAGGTTCTATATGGCGGAAGTAATTTTCAGAAAGATCTAGTCCCTGAAATTGTAATATGTCATAAGATTATCACAAGAGATTAGGAAATGTTTCGCCATCCCATCACTTACTTTCAACGCTGGTAAGTTCCAGAACGGCGCTTCCAATAAGTTTGACAATGAATTATTTTTCAATCGAAGTTCCCTGAGAGCGGGCATCGCGGTGAAGGTTTCTCTTTGCAAAAAGGCCACTCTATTGTGATCAAGGTGAAGTCTTTCCAACGTAAGATGTCCCCTTAACGATCCAAAGGGTATCTCTTCGATTTGATTGTGGCTAACATCGAGGAATTTTAATCTGGGCAAAGCTTCCATTATAGATCTCAGTTCAGACACGTGACTTAGATCGTTGTTGATTAACCACATCTCTTCCAATACGTTTCCAGATCTATGCGGGAAGAATTCAGGATGTATGTGATGTATGAGATTGTGATTGAGATCGACAATTTTCAATGCCGGCATTCTTTGAAATGCCCCAGCGAACACTTCGGTAATATAATTTCTCGACAAATACAAGCGCGAGAGGACCGATAAATCTGTGAATGCCCCTTCACCAAGACGATTTATGCGATTTCTGTCCAGACGTATCATCGAGAGGGAAGGCAGATCCATGCAAGCCCGTCCAATCATCCCGGCATCCACGATCGAATTTCCAACCAACGAGATCTCTTTCAATTCTGGTAAATCTATCAAAGCTCGAGGATGGACCCAATGAATTCCACAGTCCGTAATATTCATCAACTCGAGCCGCAGCAGACCCCGGAAGAGACCAGCTTCCAAACGTATTAAACGTGGACTACCAAAAACGTGAAATTGTTCCAAGTTAGGCAAGTCTCGAAAATTTCTTGGGGCTAATTCTAACAGAGCCGGTGAGTTAATCTGGAGATATCTGAGTTTTGGTAGTCCAGAGAATCTAGGAAGCTTTTTCATCGCTCTACTCTGCAAGGTTACCGCCTCGAGGCCAAGTAAATTTTCGAGGCTGTCTACAGGTAACGAACGTAAATCCGGTTCCACGATAAATAATTCTAACAAGGAATCGTGAAGACCCTCTAGCCACCCTGACGACACTCTTTCAAGACGATTGTTTCGAAGCATTAAACGAAGAACACGCAGACTAGCAAAAACTTTGCCTGGCAGACTAGGTAGATTATTGTTCTCCAAGATCAACTCGTCAACTGGTCGATCTAAATAATGACTCACTGCCTTTAGACCCTCGAGAACTTTTGGTAACTCACTGTGACTGCACCTATTGACACAAATAAGAAATGAATCTTGTCTGATGATCTTTCTTTTTCTATTTTCTTTTTTTTTTTTCTTTTAAGTGTGACACTTGCCATATTTGAATCTCCATGTCACGAGTAGAACATCTACAAGGTAGAATCCTCTCTTGAGTAGGACACCCGTACTCCGAATTTAACTGAGCATCGACACTGATAAAGGATAACAGTGTCAGAAAGCAGCCAGTTATAAAGACGCCTCTATCCCACGGTAATTTAATCATAGCGCATTTGGATCTTGGTCTACGACCTCAAACACCAGTCCCACATTTTCTGTAAAAATCATTTTATCTCTAACTGTTCAATTTCTAAAAGCATAAATGTAATTTTTTTCTTTTTTTTTTTTTTTTTAGAAATTTGGATATTGTAACTAAATGTTAACTGTCTTTGTATATAAACCGAAGAACATGCTGTATATACATGGTGTCTACACGTCACGGTCGTAGACGACAAAATTAATGTTTCATACCGTAAGCTTAAAGTTAAAGACCGCTAGGAAAATCTTTCCCCGCGATAATTACTGTCACCCGAAATTGCACGACACGGGTATGTGTTGATTAAATTGATAAAGCATTTGTATTAATCGCAACAACGTACTAAAACGTTTATTTATTTCACGAACAATAGACAAATGCTCTTATCTAACATCTAATCATCAAAAGAACAAGATATTTGAGTAAGTAATTTAAGAGAATCGATACGGAAGGCGAAAGTCTTTTTACTCTATCTGATAGAACGAAAACAAAGGTTTTCTTCGAGGATAGTGTTCACGGGTGACTACGTGTGTTTCATAATGCGCCTTCCGTAAGTAGAAACAATCGAACGACCTAAAAATGCATTCGGATGTAAGGAATGTTGATATGAAGCAATTGTTAATTAAAATATTTAATCAAAAAAACTGTATACGTGTATACAGTTCCAGTAACCATATGTTTTGTTGAAAATTTAAGGGAGCGCGTCAGAATCCAGATATACAGGTCGTTACACTCACGTGATTACATTTGCATTCCTCTAAACTAGATTAACCTGATTGTTACCTGATAATAGCTGAACCTATTACCTGATTGTTAGGAAATCGGTTTTCATCGTTCAGTGAGCTTTAAAATTAAACTATTCAATTTGATCTTTTCTATGAACATTCCTCGTTAAATGAGTCTTCGCGTGACGCAAATTGCAAACGGTTGACATAATCCTTTGTTATATATCCTATTTAGTTACGACTTACAATGCGTATAATTGATACAGGTGCAGCATCTTTTTTATTAATTTTTTATTAGTTTTTTATTAGTTATAAACTTATAATACGTATAATTGATACAGGTGCAGCACCTTTTTTTTTTATTGTTAATGTCCTGTAACTATGATTGAACTATAGTATACGATCGTATATGATACCAGTGAAAGTGATATATGTTTCCTCTGTCTTCTTAGTTCTTATTCTTTCTTAAATTATAGCAAGTAATTTTATGCAACTTTGAAACTAGATAGTGTACATACATTTTAAGCAAATAAAAGTAAGATTAAACGATGAGAATCGCATTATTCTCGTTATTTTTATTATTTAATCATTGCAATTTAAAATGTCAAAACTACTCAATTCTTCGTATCGATTTGTAGGGATCATTCCTACCTTTAGACTTTCTCCTAGCTGACCAAAAGTCTCGATTTATTCCCGAATAAAAAACGTTCCCACTTCTCAAAATTTTATTGATTATCTTTAATTTAATTATTTATATTTTCTAGAATAACGTGATTAAATAGCACTGCCTATTCACAAATCAAAAAACAACACGTCACGTTTCGAACGTCGTTTCGAAAAGTTAGAAACTCGGTACTCTCGTTACGAACAGATACGAACTAACTACATGAAGAAGTTTTGTACAAAACGTGCTGATGCACAAAGTCGAGGGGAGAAGATGACTGTGGCGTGGGTGATGGCGAGCGGGACGAAAAGAGAATTGCGAAGTGCTGTGTCCAACCACCGTGAAGGCACGCTTCCAGGAAATTCTTCCCTTTCCACCAAATCTTTACCATCTACCAAATTGGCGACAGTGACAAATTTCGAATTTAAAATTGCCTGTCTTATAAATTTTTCAGGCTTCAAATCTATCAGAAGATTTTAAAAAAAATTACGAGCGATTTCAACTAGAGATATTTTACAAATATTGAAACGATGATATAAAAATAAGATTTGTAAAGATTTGTAAGTTAATATTCGTATTATTTAACTGTAATATCACTGTAAATAATTTCAGTTTATAATTTCAGTAATGTTCATAACAATTTTTTGATTTATATCGACAAGAATCACGATTTCTATAATTTTCTTGAAAACGTGCAGCTAAACGTGTTCCAGTCCAGATGATATGAATACCATCTTCTTTTATTCGCTTTTGTCAAGATGTAGGAAAATATACATTAATTTGATTCAAAATAATATCGAAAAATTTTCCATTCCTCCAGAGCTAACCAGTATTTAATTACTGATTAATCATTCAGATATAGCACTTGAATATCTTTTTATCTATTAACATCTAAAATCTATATTAAAAAATAAATTGAATTAAATATTAGAATATTTAAATGAATAATTCACAATAATATATGATTTTTAATAATAATAACACTATATAAATTTTTATTAGATAAATATAAGTATTATAAATATATGAATTACTTACTTTAACTAGATTCATAGAAATTAAAAATTCTGCATTTATTAACGCACAAATACAAAAAAGAAGAAACCTGTGTTGCAACTGGTTTTCAGAATCAATCCTGTTATAATATTATGATTATGCGAGCCTATGGCAGTCATTTAAAGATATTGAAACAGAAAAGTCCTTTTAATTTATTATGTTCCTTTGAGAATTTCTTTATGCAGATAAAAGTTTTCTTCGAATTTTTTCAAATTTTTTTTTAATATATCTAACGTGACTGTAACTGGAAAAAAGAAGAAAAAGAAGTATTTCATTAAGAATTGCCACTTGTTTTTGATTGAATTTTTTATTTCGGATTTCAAAACATGTGGTGTAAAAATTTATTAAAAGTTTATCAATGGTTTTCAAGAAACATTTTAAGAGATTATTGCATCATGAATTGTTCATCTCAAGAAGTTGAAAAAATTGAAATTAATAAATCACGTATTATCAAAAAATCACCAAGAATACTTATTACAGGTGCGTGTATGATTTTAAAATATCAATTAAAATATTTGTTTCAAAATTATAACAAATTTTTCTTTGCATTTTGCTATGGATTTACATAAAAATTTAATATTCTTTACATTTTTGTATTATAAGGTGGTCTAGGACAATTGGGTACCGAGTGTGCAAAACTATTTCGTAAAAATTATGGAAATGAAAATGTAATTTTATCTGATATAATCAAACCGACAGAAGAAAATTTATCAAACGGACCTTTTATTTTTGCCGATATTCTTGATTTTAAAGGACTACAAAAGATTGTAGTAAATTATAGAATTGATTGGCTCATTCATTTCAGTGCTCTTCTTAGCGCTATAGGTGAACAAAATGTTCCTCTAGCTGTAAGAGTCAACATAGAAGGTAAAATAATCATTGAAGTTCTATAAAATAGATTAGATTGGAATGAAATCGAATGTCTTATTAAGTGAATCTTATTAAATATCATTGTAATAATTATAATACTAACATAATCATGAAAGAAAGTACATTAGAGAAAGTATGTAGCTTTCATAGATATCTTTAAAGAATATCTTCATATAAAATTATTCAAAATTTTTTAAAATCTAAATCTAAAAAAATTTCTATAAAAAAATTAATACTTTATATTAGGAATGCATAATGTTATTGAACTAGCAAAGCAATATAAATTAAGAATATTTATTCCTTCGACAATTGGAGCATTTGGTCCAGATTCACCACGCAATCCTACTCCAAATGTAACTATTCAACGTCCACGAACAATTTATGGTGTTAGTAAAGTTCATGCTGAATTATTAGGTGAATATTATCATCATAGATTCGGTCTTGATTTTCGATGTCTTCGATTTCCGGGAGTTATCAGCAGTGATCCACCAGGTGGTGGTACTACAGGTATATATTTTATTATTATTTTGATTTTTTATTGTTATTTATTTTGTTTTTTTATTTTATTTTTATTTTGTAATAAATATATTTTATTAAATATATTTTATATAAAAATATTTTCCTACCTCAAGAAATGGAGCATTAAAATAATTACATAATAATGCAATTTATTGGTCTTTAGAGACAATAGTATGAGTAAATTGTTGAATGTCTCTTGATCGCGAACCGTGAGGTCGTTTCTTGCGTTTCCCTTATTTTCTGAAGCGTAAATCTTAAAATAACAGCAAAGTAACATTATGAAGAAAACTATATAGTATGTGATAAAGTAATATTTTTAATATAATTAATATTTTAATTGTATAACTTTATTTTTTTAATAGACTATGCAGTAGCAGTTTTTCATGAAGGATTACTCACTAAAAAGTATGAATGTTATTTAGAACCTTATACAAGATTACCAATGATGTACATAGAAGATTGTTTATCAGCGCTTTTTCAATTTTTAAATACTCCAAATGAGCAATTACAAAGAAGAGTATATAATGTTACTGCTATGAGTTTCACACCTGAAGAATTATTTACTGAACTTAAAAAATATGTTCCTGATTTAAAGATTTCATATAAACCGGATGCAAGACAATATATTGGTTCGTAATATTTATAATTATTAATCTGCAATATATATAACAAAACAACATATTTAAATTTTAGCTGAAAATTGGCCACAAGTTTTCGATGATAGTGATGCTCGTCGAGATTGGGGTTGGCAGCATAAGTATAACTTAGAAAAACTGGTAAAATCAATGGTACGCGATGTAAAGAAAAATTTTTCAAACAAAAGATCATTAAAAGAAGTTAACAGCTATGTATGATATGATTTAGATAATTGATATAATTGATATAAATTATATTATATAATTATCTTAAGGTATGAAAATACTATTTATTTTACAACAAAATATAAAACTTAGAAAATATATTTTTTATAATTACATATCTTCACTCATTAATTTCTCAATATCTTCGTCATTTAGATAATTTTCTATTCTTCTTGGAGTTAGTTTAGATGTTCTAACTGGAGTCATATTCATTTTATCAATTTTTCTCGATGGTGTAGTATTTCTCTCTGTACTTTTTGGGGTAGAAATATTTCTTGAAGGAGTACTTCTGTCAATATTGGGAGTACTAACTCTAGGAGTTCCAACATTTAGTTTTCCAGTTTGAGAAAGTTTTTCTTTATTTTCAAATTCTGTAAAACAAAAAAAAAAGAGACAAATTTATTTATTAAATTTATATATCTTTTTAATTTAAACTATTATTGTACCTGCATCTTTAGTCAATATGGCCCGACTTTCTAGGAAATATCCATTTGGATGAATAATAGGTTTATCTGGCAAACGATTATGTAAAACTTTAAAGTATGCTGTACAAGCACCAAAGTAATTATCATTTTTTGCTAGTTCTGTTATTTCATTAATACCTAAAATATATAAAATTTTAGATATAATTCCTTATAATAATAAAAAAAAAGACAATATACTTACTTGCTGCAGGTATGCCATAACTAAACAATTTTTGTTTTAATGATGCATTATCCATATGTTTATATGGACAACCATTAAATTCTCCAGGACTTTGAACAGAAGACATAATTTTTTGACATCCAAGAGGAGTGTAGTTTGTCTGTCTGCCTTCTTTACCATAAGTATGTCTTATAGTATAGGCATATTCCTTATCAAATTTTACTGAATCAATTTTTTTTGTGAACTCTGTTTTCCAAAAGGATAAAGAATCTTCCATTGTTACACCAATACCTTTTATAAATAAACCATATTGTATACGCCCACTATTTTTCAGATGATGATTAGATTTAAGTGCTTCATGTAATATTCTCATGCACATAGGATATGATGTTTTTGATAACTGAAAATTATATAATATTATTCAAGAATAAAATTATATAAAAAATAAATAAATTACCTCATCTAATTTATCTGTGGGTGTAGCAGAACTAGTCCAAACAACACATGTTTTATCAGAAATATTAGGTACAGATTTAAGATATGATTGTATTCTATCATCACCATGCATACGCATAATAGACATTTTTGCAGCCTGTGCATAAGATTAAACTAATTATAAATCTAAACAACATTTGGTTATATATATATATATATATACATAATAATGAAAAATAATATAAAATAAAAACTTACTGGCATACCATCAAGTAAGTTTTTTCTAAAATAAGAAAGAAACAAAGATACTAAATCTATTTGTGGTATATATGCTATTCCTTGACTTAGATAAACTCTACGTGATCTAATTAAATCAGAAACTCTATAAAAAGAAACTTTATAAAATTCTGTCATATCAATATTTAAAACTTTTATGGATGAGGTAGATAAACGAAGTTCCTCTCTAATTTCATCCTTTTCTTCTTGTGTAATCTTAAGAAAATAATAATAAAAAAAATGATCATAAATTTAATGAATTATTTTACTTTAGCTCAATTTCTTACCTGGTGACAATCAATATTATGCATACTAAGTAACTTTTCTATTCCTTCTTTATCTAATGAACTAAATCTTAATTTAAATAATTCTATTTCTTGGTTAATAAACCACATTTGACGATCTGATTCTTGACAATGTGATAATCTTGATATAAAATGTGATATATGATCTTTTCTTCTACATTGTAAATCAGTTTCTGTTGATGATTTGCAACCTTTTGCATATAAAAGATGTGCAAAATATTTAAGACCATCTTTCATTAAAGCTGTATGTAAATTTTGTTTACGGTCTTCTTGTGTCTTAAAATCTGTTCTTATTGCATTGTTTTCCACATGTTGTAAAACTATAAAATATGATGATCATATATATATATATATAAAACTATTTTTATTCATAATAGAAATTAATAATAATTATAAAATAATAAGTTAATTATAATTTTCTATAAAACTTACGTTTTAATCTTTCTCTACCCAGTTCCTCAAATTCTGTAAGTGAAATTTCTCCTGTTGGAGGAAAATCATACATATGCAGGTCATGTTGATAAATATTTTGAAGATCAGAATAATCAATATTATTTCTAACATTAATTGTATAGCGTCTTCTTTTAGTATATTCCATTTTCTATAAGAAAATATATTCACTTTTCTTTTATTTAAAATGCATTCATAAATTTACGACATATCGTTCAAACAATTTTTTTCATAAGAAAATATTGTATAACATTTATAGTTAGCAAAACAGTTAACAATAAAAAATAAACGTATCTACTTAATATTAATTTATTTATGCACATACAACTATTGCCAACACATTTTGAATGTAAAAAATCTATTTCACAAGAAGCTTAAGCCGCCATTACTACCATACTATCTTTCCCGCGCTTTTTTCCCGCTATTTTCTTACAAAAATAGTTTAATGATTTATATATTATTCATATGTAAGTATATATATATATATATTAGTTTTTTTTTTTGAAAAACAATATCAATATATATTTATTAAAACTTAGTATATAATTCATCAATATCTTTTGATAAAATGAATTCTTGATTATAATATAATATACAATAAAACAGTACGTATATATATATTAAAAAGATACTACTATACATCATTGAATAAATCTATTATGGTTTAATATGTTTATGTACTATTGCAGTAGAAATATTTTTCAATTGAAGAGGCGCTAAATGGCCATCGGCACTATCAAAATTTTGTACATAAAGTTCTTTCACTTGAATATTGAAAAATTCCATTCTATTTTTTATAGGAGATATAGCTCGAAATTCATGAATAGTAATATCATTTCTATTAATAATTTGTTTATCAAGAAAATTAACTTGATTCGGATACATTGAATCTCCTGGTAAAACATGTACAATCCCATCCAACAATTCTACCTTTACCTAATATAATAAATATGTTATTAAAATTGCTTTTTAATATATTTTTTTAAATATTTTTTACATACTGGTAGATTTAAGAGCACTCCTATTTTACTTCTATCAATTGCAAAATCCAACAAATTATCTATGCTTTCGAACTTTGCTATTCTTGCAATTTCATATTGTTGTGGTGGTGGAAATGCAATTTTTGGAGTTGAAAATAAGAAATTTCCAGGCATATCCCACTAAATTAAAATATCTCATTTAATATTATTATAATTTTTAAATATTAATATATTCATAATTATATTATTCATTTATTTAAATATAAATTATATTATTCATATATTAAAACAACTTTACTTTCAAATCTTCTATTTCTGTTGGCTCATGAAAAGTTTGAGGTAAAGAAGAAACACAAGCTAAATAAAAAGCAGTGTTATAACGTCGTCCAGTAAAATAAGTCGGTGTTAACCAATTGCTCCATTCATAAAGAGACCATAAGTCTGGATAACAATTAAAATTTTCACACAATGTATAAAATTCTCTAGCATCATTGTGCACTCTTGTTTGCCAATTATGCAATTCACTTTTAGAAACTGTACAAAAAAAATTGAAAATTTTATAATTATTATTTATTTATTTTAATAAAATAACTTTTTATTTTGTAATATTTTCACAAATATTTTAATATTTTATTTAATCGAATTACTTTTTATGTTCTGTGCCCAACCAAAAGTATCTTCTCGAGATTGTTTGCAAATAAGTATACCACATTCTTCAAAGGTTTCACGAATTGCAGTAATGCGTAAAGAAATTTCTTTTGGCAATTCATTCGATTTGAATTGGAAAATTTGAGGACGAATAGAAGTATTTGGAGTCAAAGATGTGAAACTATTAGTATCAAAACCGAAGGTAGTAAAAAGATCATGCCATTTTAAATCAGCATCGGACGGATCTATTATTCCTCCAGGAAATACATATGTACTTGGTAAAAATTTTGAATTTTGATGACGTTTCAGGCACAGTAAATTGTAATTATACTGAAACTAGATAATATTTATTAATCTTTTAATTAGTATTTATATTGTAATTGTTTTTCTAATTAAGTCGTAATATAACAATTTAAATTCTCGCGCGTATTTGGCGTATGATTCGATTTTCGATATTATTATACTTTCTAATATTAAGTTATATTTTATTATTATTTTTTTTTATTTTAATAACAGAAAATAATCAATATATTTATTATGTACATAATAAAGTTTTTAATCAAATATATTTAATATATTACTTACATTTGTCAGTGATGAACGAACATATTTTTGACGTGCCGTTAGTATTAAACTTACAGATTCTTTCCAAGCCTTCATTCTTTTATTTAACGTATTTAAATTTTATATTATAAATTGTTATTTAATGTATCTAAGTTTTATAATATTTGCAATTTATACAAAATAATTGACATAGTTATAATTCCATAAAATGTACTTATAACCTAATTGAATAAATATACGTCCATATTTAGATTTAAACATTAATAAAAAAAAAACAATTAAATAATATAACGATTGTATATATATATATACTCACCGATGTCGTTTTGTTCTAAATAATTATTAACTGCATATTTTCAATACTTTCTTTATTTGAAGAATTATTAATTATTGTTGAAATTGTATTTTTATGATCATATTTAAAAATTGTTTAATATTATTATTTAATCTTTCTATTATAATTTTTTATTTATATTTTATATTTAAAATAAAACATTATTATATTATTACATATTACTATAATAAACTTATGATTGTTTCTATACAAATTTATCAAATATTATTGTCAAGAAATATTATTAGAAATTTATAAAAAATTATAGAGTATTATAGAAATTTTTGTTCAAATATAATAATTTATAATTTATATACATGATATTACATTGATCATAAATAATTAATAAATTATATTAATAATACATATATTATATACAATATTATATCTTTAATATTATTATTATACAATACATTTTAGAAAGAATAAATTATGTGTTTTTTATATTTTTATTGATTTTACCAGTTGATGCAATCATTAGTTCATATAATTGATGTAATTGTTCATCCCTAAATTTGTTAAAATCTTCTTCTTTTAAATTTTGACCTAAAGGTTTAGCTGTATGTGGTCCTTTTAGCCCAAGTTGTTTTGTAAGCATTATAGCATACTCCTATAAAATGAAGTAATTTTATTATTCATTTTAGAAATAAAAACTTTTAATATTTTAATAAATATAAAATATTATTTTATTTTATATTTATTAATTTATGTGATAATAAAAATGAAACATAACCTAATGATGTTAAAAAGATTACATTGAATTTATAAAATTTAATATTACTTACTGTCCATTCATTCATAAATATAATTGCTATATCTTCGTTACAATTTTTATGTCTTCTAAATTCATCTCGAACGTAATTTGTTCCTAAAACTTGAATTTCAGGTGGTAAACCACGATGTAACCTTAAAATTGTTTTGTACAGTATTCTGACACGCTGTATATGAAATAAATTGCTCATAATTTATTTATTAAAAGAATATATACATGCTAACAGATTGATATATTTTTTTCACTATTACACTTTATTAACAGATAAATTAAATTAGAAAAGATTTTAGTAGAATCTCGCACCAAATATATATTTTGATGTATGCAATTAATGAATATGAAAAAAGAAAGAAAAATTATATATACTTGCATTTATAATATTAGATTCTATATTAGGATATTAATTCTATTTTGTTTGAATATATTGTTTCACAGGATTATATATACAAATTGAATTATAAAATTTGATAAATATTTATAAATATTTAACATATATTGATATGTTATCATATATTTATAAATATATAAGGAAATTAAAATGATATTAAAATAATATTATATGGATAATTATATTATATAGATAAGATAATTAATAGAACATAATAAATAAAATTAAAATTATAATTAAAAATTTTTTAATTATTAGATTTTAACAAGAATTATATATAATCCTGTTTAAAATATAAAATGTTGTATATTTTGTTATATAATATTACGAATCTTTTCTCGCTTTCAAGAATTTTATCAAGAAAATAATTTCTTAAAATAATAAAAAACTTGAAAACTTAAATTATTAAAATGAACTTATAATTTGTTTATATCTTTTTTTTATTGTTATATTATTGTATTCTTTATTATTTATTATATTTTTTATAAGAAATTTTATAAAGATTATTGATATTTGTTTAAGATTTATCGGAATGGATTGATTTTCTAAATTACATTATGTTATAATGACTTTGTCTATTTTTTGTTCTATTTTTAAATAGAATCCTTTACAAAGATTTTAACCAATAGCAAGTATTGAATTTTTTTACCAATCACCTGTCTTCTAAGATCATTTAATTTATAGTGTAATATATTTTTATTAATTTTTTAATTCAATGTAAAAAACAAAAGAATATAAAAATATTTTGAATGAATTATTATAAAAAATACTTTCCATTAATTTTTTATGTATAAAATTTGTTTTATAATTTTTATGATATTAAAATATTTTATATTTTACCGTATATTTTATGAACTATTTTGCGTAGGAAATGTCTTCCGCGCGCGATTTTGACCAATCAGAAACGTTTGTCTTTTCTTCCCAATTACGTCAGTATTGTTCAACATTCGTCGTTGTACCCTCGTCCTGTTAAGACGCTTGCGTAGTGAGTTCGATTTAATTTTCAATTTTATTTTTTGTTAAGTGGTTTAAGTGATTATAAAAAGAAGAAAAGACTTATTAAGAATTCTAGGTAAGAAATTTTATATATAAAACTTCTTTTTTACGTAAAATATAACTTATATAAAATTTTTTTATTCGAAAAAAAATTCGTACTATCTTCAATTCATCTTCCAATTTTTTTATTATAAAAGTTTAATTTTTATAAATTTCTTAATTTTTTAATATTTTTTTCAAATAATTTGCATTTATTTTTGTATAAAACATATTTAGAACGATTAGAATATAATATTCTAAATTAGATATATTGTTTAAATTAATGTCTACGGGGTTCAACAACCCTTTTACACGGAAAAGACATTTTAGCCATTTGTAAATTGTTAGTTTTAATAATCTTTTATGCTTTGACCTCCATTTTGAAAAGTTTTTTAGTAAGTGACTGTGAATTTTCTTCTTTAATATATTTTATGATAAATTTTTATACTTTACAATGAAAAAAGAAATATAACAAAATACTTTATTGTTTTTTTGTTATAGAATTAATTAAATTATGAAAATTGGGAGCTTATTTGTTGAAACTGAGATTCATATATTTTTATAACAATTTCATTGAAATTGCTGCATATATGTAAGTAAAAATTATAATTTGAGAAATTTATAATATAAATAATATCGAATTGTAGTAATTATAAAAATTTAATTTTCTATCCATTAAATAATTTATATCGAATATAATTTTTATATCAAAAATATTTTTTCGATTTTTATATAACTTAGATGGATTTTTCATGTTTTCTTAAATAAAATAATAAATTAATAAAATATTTGCTTTTCAATAAAATAAATAATTTTTACGAATGATCTTTTATCATTTAAATAAAAATATAAAAGCAATGATGATTTTTTTTATATTTACATATTAATATTTTAATATATTTATAACAAAAAGAAAAGTATTTGAAAAAAATGTATTTTGTTTTTTAATTTTCCTTTTGTTCCCTTTTTAATACTTATTTCTTTCAGCAATTTTGTGATCGTGTGCAATGCGATCTTAGAGACAGTGTTTGATACGCGATATAATATTATTTATTTAAATATCATATAGCTTATATTTTTTAATTGAACGTAAAAGTAGAGTCAGTGTTTGTTTGTTGTTCAATATTTCATTTCATCTTAAGTTCATAAAGATTTCGTTTATCGCAAAATTAGAATCAAATCTGATTGAGAAGAGGATCTCCTTCGAGCTACAGTAAAAAAAGAAACGTGTAAGTATTGGAAAGTAGCATAACTTTTCAAAATATTTAATTAATTTTATATCTAATTGATTTTTTATTTTAATTTATTTCAGAAAAAGAATAAACAGAAATTCAACAAATATAGATCAATAATAATCACAATGTTGTGCTACATGACTATATTTGTAAGTTTATTTCTTTACAAATAATATAAATAATAATAATCAAAATCATTTTAACTATATTGAATCTTTTAAAAATAAGATTAATGTAATAATTTTGAATATTTTTGATTACTTTAGAAGACTTTTATTCTTACATTTTTCCCTTATTTCTGATCCAGTGTTTACAAGTGCACCTGTAGAGTTATCTCAAATTTCAACCTTGACAAATAAGGAGCATCAACCGTTTGTTATGGCATAGTCTACATGCATTCAACGAACGGTGAGTCAATACATATTTCAATTTATACATATTAGTTGCGTGTGAGCATAGTGATTACGAAAATAAGATTTTTGTTTCATTATATTAATATTTATTTGTTTTTTGATTATGTTTTATATGTATTAGTTTAGGTTAGAATCTTCTTGTTTCTTTTATGCAACTTATGATAATAGAGTAGAAGTCGGATGATCCTCCGATTTCACAATAAATATTTATTTTTTGTTTTTTTAAATTTATAATTTATAATGAATATTTTATAATAATTTTGTTTTATAGTAAAAAAATAATATTATAGTTTCATATATAAAATATGTAAAATGATATTATTATAAACAAGAAGATAATTCGCGGTTAGATTTTAATAACAAAGTAATAATTAAATATTCCTAACATATGCATGTATATATTTCAAAATATTTACTTCATAATAGGATCAACTAAGGATATAATAAAATAAAATAAAGAATAAATATCAATAATTAAATAATATACATATTTTTACAATTGTCTAAATTTTTTGATAAAATTTTTAATACATTTTTAATAAATTCGGCATTTTTTATTTTTTTTAAATATTCATAAACAAAAATATTTCATAAAAATAGAAAATTAGCTCGCTTAGATATATTATTAATCTATTTTTTTAGCTTAGGATTTTCAGCATACAATAAAGTGATAATTATTGTTGTCGTGTTCATTTCTTTTTACCTAACTTATAAGCGGGCTCAGGTGCTTCTCTTATGAGTAAAGGTGGTGGACACGATTTAATTATTAATATTTATTTTTGGCGGCTGACAATTCTTAGCGTTTGTGCACGATGTAAATTTCATAAGTGTGAATGGAATTTGTTAAGTTTATGAGATTTACATCGAATAAAATAAAATAATTAATTTAAAATGATAATGAAAAAAAATATATAAATGAAATTTATATATTTGAATTTAAAGAATTCAAATTCTGAAATTTGATATTTAAAATAAAGATTATAAAATATTTTATTAAAATATATATACATTTATAGATATCATAATCTATATATAATAATTTATGATGTATGTAATGCATGATGTTCCATGAATAAATAAAAATATCATATTATGATAAAAATATAATTTATCATACAATTTATATACAATTTTATAGAAATACACAAAGAATGTAAAACTCAAAATGAACTGATGAAATAATATGAATATTTAATGAATATAAATGAATATTTAACGCAATATTCGCTAATATTGTCAGTCGATTTCAGATATTCAGGTACGTAACTTAGTGTATGAAAGATTGTATGCTACAAGCTCGGGTGACGGAGGCGTCCCGGGACGTATCTCCCTAGTGTAGGCATTTGCACCCGGGTGTTATGAGAGAGAATCGTGATGTGAATGTATTGGTATAAATGATTTTGCTAATTCTTTTTAAATATAGAGTTAGGTAGGTAGGTAGTATACTTCTGGTATGAATGGGTTAAATTATAAGTAGGTAGGGCCAGGAAAAGCAGATTATCGCATTTCTCATTTCGGGTAGGTTATTCGATCGCACGATATATCTGCACCTGGGATTCAATTAGAATCAATTAATTTTTCATTAATTGATTTTAATTATTTATTATGGTTCGTACCTAGTTTTTAAGTACGTTCGCGATTCTAGATCCGAACGAAAAATGAAGTATATAGTGTGAAAGTGATTCTTCTTAAAAATTCGTATTAAAATATTGTACATCAGCTATTCTTCTAATGGTTGATCGTGATATGATACATAATTTATAATAATTTTTTTTTTTAATCAAAAAGATGATTAGAAATAGTGAAATAATATAGTGGGATTAATGCAAGAAACCCGAAGAAAAGACTAAAAGCTGAAGATTTTAAAGAATGCCTTTTCATCATTTGATGGAAAGCCATTCTTAAAATTATTATCAAGGTATTTATTAATTTATTATTACATTTTATTTATTATTGTCACTATGCTCACAATGTATCGATACAAAATAAGCATGATATAATTATTAGTGATATAGAATACTAAAATAATTTACAAACATCATTTTTCAAAATAATTTATGATTACATTTTATTTGTTCTTATCAGTATGTATCGATACAATATAGGCGTGATATAATTGTCAGTGATATGGAATATTAAAATTATTTGCAAAAATCATTTTTCAAAATAACTTCAATTTCAAATAAAATCTATATTTCCTAAGAATTGTATTTAAATGAATTAATATTTTTTTAGAAAATTTCTTTTAAAAAAAATTTATATTAATTATTGAAAAATATTTACTATATTGAAAATATTTTTATAATAAATATAAACAAATAATTATAATTATAAGAAATAATTATAAGAAATAGATAGAGATAGGTTGAATATGAATATAGAATAAATATAAAATAAATTGATTTGAATTAAAAAAAAATCATCATTGCAATAATAGCTTCAACAATAATTTTATGAATAATTATTAATGACTTTTTTAGTTAATACTTTA